TGTTGTTCTACTCTGCTTGATATTTATACGATTTGGTCTGTTAAGTTGAGTTGTGTCATTACCAGTTCTGTTCTGCATGGGTTTGTATATGGGGCTCTAATTCCACATGTTTGTTGATTGCATTACGAGTTGAAAACCAGGTCTCTAGGAATTCCCATGCATGTCTGTGGTTGGCTTGAGCTAGGATGGTCACATTGTCCTAGTTAATTGATGGCCTTCATTGTTCGAGTGCACTGAGATGAGGGAAAGTTTGTCGTGTCGTTTTGCTGCTAGTTGGTGTTCATGTATCCTGATGGCTAATTTCCTTCCAGTTTGCTCGAGGTACTGTTTGTTCCAGTTATTGCAAGGTATTTTGTAAACTATGTTGGTCCTGCATGTCATGGGTATGGGGCCTTTGGTCCTTGTGAGCGTTTGTCGTAGTACGGCTGTGGGTTTGTGCGCTACCATGATTCTTAGTGGTCGCAGGAGTCTCGTTGTCAGTTCTGATATGTTCTTGATACAGGGTAGTGTGGCCAGTGTATTGGGGTGTATCGTGTCCTCTTGGCATTGCCTATCTAGTAGGCACTGCAGATGAAGTTGTTGGGATATCCATTGTTAGCAAAGACCTTGTATATACGTGCTCTTCCTTCTTTCTGTGTAGTTCTGAGGTGTTGCAGTGAGTTGTGGCCCGTTTGAATAGTGTCCTAACACAGCTTTGTTTGTGGACGTTGAGGTGATTGCTGTGGGAATTGAGGATTTTGTCGGACTGATGATGTTACCTAGCATGGTGACGAAATGTCTGTACGATAACCAGCCAACTCAGCAAGCAAGCCAACAACCTCATTTTAAGACTTATAAAGCTTCTAAATCGCAAACTTTTTTTTAATAAATCTATAACTGTGCGTAAGGTGAGGGCATTTTTTCTTGGTTTATACTGTGATCTGTCTTTTGATTGACTTTTAACATTAAGATTTGGTATTAAGTTATCCCAGTGTAGTGATTTTGAGGAGTAAAACTGTGCAAACTGTGTTTGTTTTCAGGTAAATTCTGGGTCTGTAGATTGTTAAAGGGGCACAAATGGCTCTTAATAGGGTGCTCTTCCGGTCAGATGTGGGAGATCAGGGAGAATTTTGATGTTCCTGGAGATTATGTCTGCAGGAAGTGTGTTTGGTTGCAACTCCTATCAGACTGCATGGATCATTTCCCTGGAGTAAGGGAGTCCAAAGCTAGACAGGATGGATTTCAGGTGAGAGGGGAAAGATTTAAAAGGAACCTAAGGGGCAACTTTGTCACACAGAGGGTGGTGCATGTATGGAATGAGCTGCCTGAGGAAGTGATAGAGGCTGGTATGATTACAATATTTAAGAGGCATCTGGATGGGTATATGAATAGGAAGGGTTCAGAGGGATATAGGCTAAATGCTGGCAAATAGGACTACATTTACTTTGGATACCTGGTTGGCATGGACGAGTTGGAAATAAGGGTCTATTTCTGTGCTGTACATATCCATGACTCTATATCCCTCTAAACCCTTCCTTTTCACATACCCATCCAGATGCCTTTTAAATATTATAATTGTCCTAGCCTCTGCAACTTTCTCTGGCAGCTCATATAGACACGCACCACCCAATGCATGAAAAAATTGCCCCTTTCTAAATCTTTCTTCTCTCACCCTAAACCTATGCTCTCTAGGTTTGGACTCCATTACCTTTGGGAAAAGATCTTGGCTATTCACCCTATCAATGCCCATCATGATTTTAGAAACCTCTATAAAATCAGCCATAAGCTTCCGACGCCAAAGAGAGAAATGCCCCACCCTATTCAGCCTCCCTCTCTAGCTCAAAACCTCCAACCCTGTCAACATCCTTGTAAATCTTTTCTGAACTCTTTCAAATTTCACAACATCCTTCCTATACAGGCAGACCAGAATTGCACGCAGTATTCCAAAAGTGAACTAACCAATGTCCTGTACAGCTGCAACATGACATCCCAACTCCTATACTCAATGCACTGACCAAAACAAAAAAACATACCAAATGCCTTCTTCACTATCCTATTTACCTCCAACTCCACTTTTGAGGAACTATGAACCTGCACTCCAAAGTCTCTTTGTTCAGCAAAACTCCCTAGGATCTTACCATTGAGTGTATAAGCCTATCCAAAATGCAGCACCTCACATTTATCTAAATTAAACTCAATCTGCCACTCCCTGGCCCATCAGCCCATCTAATCAAGATCACGTTGTACTCTGAGGTTTCGCTGTCGACTATACCTCCAATTTTGGTATCATCTGCAAACTTACTAACCATACCTCCTATGTTCACATCCAAATCATTGATATAAATGACGAAAAGCAGTGGACCCAACACCAATCATTGTGGGACACCGCTGGTCACAGGCCTCCAGTCTGAAAAGCAATGCTCCACCACCACCCTGTGTCTTCTACCTTTCAGCCAGTTCTATATCTAAATGGCTAGTTCCCCCGTATTCCATGTGATCTAACCTTGCTAACCAGTCTACAATGAGGAACTTGTCGAATGCCTTACTGAAGTCCATATAGATCACATGCACCGCTCTGATCTTATAATCCTCTTCATTACATCTTCAAAACAACTCAATTAAGTTAGTGAGACACCATTTCCCATGCAGAAAGCCATGTTGACTATCCCTATTCAGTCCTTGCCTTTCCAAATGCATGTAAATCCTGTCACTCAGGATTCCCTCCAACAACCTGCCCATCACCGATATCAGGCTCAGAGATAGTAGGAGCTGCCGATGCTGGAGAATCTGACATACCAAGGTTAGAACTGGATGAACACAGCAGGCCAAGCAGCATCAGAGGAGCAGGAAAGCTGACGTTTCGGGTCTGGACCCTTCTTCAGAAAAACCCTTTTTTCTGAAGAAGGTTCCAGACCCAAAATGTCACCTTTCCTGCTCCTCTGATGCTGTTTGGCCTGCTGTGTTCATCCAGCTCTACACCTTGTTATCACCGATATCAGGCTCACTGGTCTATAGTTCCCCGGCTTTTCCTTACCACCTTTCTTAAATAGCGGCACCACATTAGACAAGCTCTAGTCTTCCGGCACCTCACCTGTGCCTCTCGATGATACAAATGTCTCAGCAAGGGGTGCAGCAATCATTTCCATAGCTTCCCACGGAGTTCTAAGGTACACCTGATCAGATCCCGGGTGATTTATCCACCACCTTTATACATTTTTAAGTCGTCCAGCACCTTCTCCTCTGGAATATGGACATTTTTCAAGATATCGCTATTTATTTCCCCATGCTCCATATCTTCCGTATCCTTCTCCACAGTAAACACTGATGCAAAATACTCATTCAGTATTTCCCCCATGTCTTGCAGTTCCACACATAGGTGGCCTTGCTGATCTTTAAGGGTCGCTACTCTCTCCCTAGTCACGCTTCTGTCCTTAATGTATTTGTAGGTTCCCTTTGGATTTTCTTTAACCCTATTTGCCAGAACTATCTCATGTCCCCTTATTGTCCTGATTTCCCTCTTAAGTATACGCCGACTGCCTTTATACTCTTCTAGGGATTCACTCGATCTCTACTGTCTGTATCTGACAATTGCTTCCTTCTTTTTCTGGAGCAAAACCTCAATTTCTCTAGTCATCCAGCATTCCCTACACCTACCAGCCTTGCCTTTCACCCTAACAGGAACATACTGTCTCTGGACTCTCATTATCTCATTTTTGAAGACTTCCCAATTTCAAGCCATCCATTTACCTCCAAACATCCACCCCCAATCAACTTTTGAAAGTTTTGCCTAACACCGTCAAAATTGGCCTTCTTCCAATTTAGAACTTTAACTTCCATTCTTTTCCATCACTATTTTAAATCAAATAAAATTATGGTCACTAGCTCCAAAGTGGTCCCCCACTGACATCTTGGTCACCTGCCCTGCCTTATTTCCCAAGAATAGGTCAAGTTTTGTGGCTTCTCTAGTAGGTACATCCACATAGTGAATCAGAAAATTTTTTTGGACACACAGAACAAATATCTTTCCATCCAAGACCTTAACACTATGACAGTCCCACTCTATGTTTGGAAAGTTAAAATCTGCTAACATAACCAACCTATATTTCTTATAGATAACTGAGATCTTCTTACAAATTTGCTTCTCAATTTCCTGCTGACTATTGGGGGGTCTATAGTACAATCCCAACAAGGTGATCATCTCTTTCTTATTTCTCAGTTCCAACCAAGTAACTTCCCTGGATGTATTCTCAGGAATATCCAATACGGGCCAAATGCTGGCAAATGGGACTGGGTCTGATTGGGATATCTCGTCGCCACGGATGATTTGGACCGAAGAGTCTGTTTCCATGCAGTATGACTCTCTGACTCTATGTATGGTCAATTTACAATGTAAAGTAATGCATAAACTTCCCAGAGTGTAAAGACCAGTTTTCTTCTCTTTGAATGATCTAGGAAGCAATGCTACAAAGTTATTATTGTGGTAACTTCATAAAAGCCAAACAGCTTTGCCTGATGTAGAACAGTGTAATACATCTTTGATCTGAATGTTCTTGAAATGCGCTTGCTTGCAAAAAAAAACTTGCTTTCAGAATTATTGGTAGTGGTGAATGTCTGTGTAGTTTGCTCATCCTGGTGAATTTACCTTGTCAACTTGACATCTTGTGCATCATCTGTCACAACTGTAATCCTGTGTATCATCTGATATAGATCTTCAAAAAGCTTTTGGCAATAATATCACTGTAAATATTGACTAAATAAGTGGGTATGAATGAGGTTCTGTGAAAGATCAGAATAATGATACTAATATCATAAAATAAATGAGATAGGTTTCTCTGGGTTTAAAGTAAATTAGTGCGATGTATAATGAAATCCACTCATATTTCTGAAAACCTCATCAGTCACATTGCTTGGTACAAGGGATACTATACCATATACATTATGCAAAATGCAAATCAGATTACATGAGATCACTGTTCATCTATGTTCTTTTATTTGATATATCTTTCAGAGTATGAGCTGCATATTTGAGAATATTGTACAAAAACTTTCCAATCAAATTTTTAATAAATTGACACACTAAATCTCATGCAGAAGATGAGTAAGCTGATTCGGAAGAATGCAGGTTCAATTCCTGTTTGTATGCTAAATTAGCAGGTTTCGGCTCTGGCAATGGTGGCAATGATATTGGCCTTAGTAATCCTGGGTCAGGGAGAAACTTTGTAGTCAGCAGATAGAGGAAATGTTTATTCCATTAATCTGAACTGGATTCAAATGCAGTTTTCAGAAGTCATTGGGCAATCTTTTGGCTCAATCTATTCTTCGAGAGATAAGAGCATGACCGTCATCTTCCGTATTTAAAGACTCTATGAAGCACAGTACCAAACCAACTGTTAAATTATGTCAAATATTTCATAATATTATCCATTTTATGTTGCATTATATAATTTAACCCGAAGTTTTGGCAAGAAAATATGAGTTCACATGCTTGAATCTGAAAACACATTTAAATGTACAAAACATTTCATCATCATATTGGCATTTTTGTAATTACTTTTCTGAGGGATGAGTTCAGTAGATCTCCCTAATGCACATTGGTGTACAAGTCTCAGTAGAAGAATAAGGAGAAATTACATACAGCTGTGTGATGTTGTGTGCATCTATTCAATGTGAGCTTTCATAAATTACAATAGGGACCTATTTGACCAACTAATTATGAACAACCTATACTGACAACTTCTTGCAGCTTTCATGTAGAAGTCAGGTCTAAAGGAAAAGCTGGTTTCTACACTCATCTATTTAAAACCTTCATATAAGGCTGTGTGATTGAGGAAACGGAAATCAGTCCAAAAATATCATACAGACTGGAGCTCTATTTAGAGAAGATTGATTGAAGAGAAACAAATAGAAAATCAGATGCTGGAAATCTAAAATAAAAATAAAATTGCTGCAAATGTTCAGCAGGCCAGGTAGCTTAATCAGAGAGAAAAGAGGGGTCAGTGTTTAATGTGAGCCCTTCTTCAAAAACAGATGCTGACCCCCGCTAAATATTTTGAATATTTTCTTTATTGTTTCAGGCACTTAAGAGCTCTGTCACAATATTCAATGAGCTCAGGTAACCTTCAAGTAAACAGGCTAAGTATTTTTGGGAACATGAGCATTCCATTGGCTCTGATTTCTTTCAGGAATGGTCCATTTTAACAACTTGTAGGCATATAATTCATTTGTAATTCTAATTGCTTTGGCACGTGGATACAAAACTGACTTATTTTTAATTGATTTGTAAATTTTGGGACTGAATTTTTCCAACTTCAGTTGCAGTGTTTTGTTAAATGTGATTCATGGTCCCAGTCCAACGTGGCTCAGAGTGATTTTTGTCACACAATCTTCACCTCATTAATTATGCATCTTGGCTCTTTGGCACCGTCCTTGTGGAATTGCATGGTAGGAGAAGTGCAAGTGCTGGTCATTGTCAGGACCTTCAGATATTCATGCCGCTAGTGTCCTTCTTATGGAATTGCACAGCATCAGGAAGCTTCATGCACAAGCTGCTGGGGACATCACATCCTGAGTGAGACACAACCAGAAAGAATGTATGTACCTTGGAATCTTGAGCACAGTGGGAATTTGGTACAGAAGGGAAGAGTTGCTTTTTGCTTTCTTTGGTTTATAGTTTCTCAGATCTTTTTATGGTTTATATTTTGTAAGGTCTATATTCCAAAATAACAAGGACCAGAGAATGATTGGCATTATTGATATTAAACATCTTCCAAAAGGGTTAATCTAAGGATTAAGTCATTGCGGAAAAGCTCAAAACCATGATGCATTCTTCCTGCTCTCTGTGGAAAACCAGGAACATTTCCAGCGCCCAGGCCAGCATGTGTGCAGGAAGTAATTCCACCTGCAGCTCCTATAAGCTCAGGTTTTGGAGCTCGAGCAGTGGTGAGACACATTGTGGAGCATCTGTGAGGCAGACAGTATGTGATAGCATATATAGAGAGTTGATCATACCGCAGCCTAAAACTCCACAGACAGGAAGGGAATGGGTGACTGCCAGACAGAGCAAGCGGATTGAGCGGGCAGTGGAGATGTTTCTTGTGGCGATTCTCCTGCAAAACAGATATATCACTTTGGAAACTATTGAGGGAAATGACCTCTTGGGGAAAGCAGCAACAGCTAAATTCATTGCACCATGGTTGGCTCTCCTGTACAGGGAAAGAGTAAAAAGTGTAGGAATGTAATAATTATAGGGATTCAATTGTAAGGGACTTAAATGTAAGGGGAATAGATAGGCATTTCTGTGGCCACAAATGAGACTCTTCGTTGAAATGTTGCCTCTCTGGTGCTAGGGGAAGGATGTATCAAGAGCATTCTGGAGGAGGACAGTGAACAGCCAGTGGCACAGGTTAAAAAAAGCAATATAGATTAAAAAAAGGGCAGAATTGAAAAATAGGACCTCAAAGGTAGTGATCTCAGGATTACCACCAGTGCCACGTGCTAGTCAGAGTAGAAATAGCAGGATATATCAGATGAATACATGGCTGAAGAAATAGGGCAAGGGACCAGTTCTGGCAAAAATGGGACACACCTGGGTAGAATGGGATGAATGTCTTGGGGGAGTATTTGCTTGAGTGGTTGTGGAGACTTTAAACTAAAATGGCAGTGGCATGGGAACCAATGTAAGGAGTCAGAGGAAAGGGAAACAAGGACAAAAACAAAAGGCAGAAAGGGGAATAAAAAAGGTTATGGGCAGAGAAATCAAGGGCCAGGATCAAACAGTGAAAAATATTAGGAACAGAACAAGAAATGTTAAAAAGACATTTGATCCTTAATGTGCAGAGCATTCACAATAAAATGAATGAATTAATTATGCAAACAGATGAAAACAGGTGTGATATAGTTGGGATTGTGGAGACATAGCTGCAGGGTGAGCAGGGATGGGAACTGAACATCTAGGGGTACTCAGTATTTAGGAAGCACATACAAAAAGGAAAAGGTGAGGGAGCTGTACTGCTGGTTAAACAGGAAATTTATGTAATAGTGAAGAAGCTTATTAGCTCAGGCGATGTGGAATTTGTATAGGTAGAACTCAGAAATACCAAGGGGCAAAAAAATGCATTAGTTGAGTTGTATATAGACCCCCAAATTGTAGCAGTGGTATTGGAAATGGCATTAAACAGGAAATTCGAGACACATGCAGTAAAGAAACATCAGTAATTATGGGTAGCTTTAATCTGTATATGGATTTGTCAAATCAAATTAGTAACAATACTGTAGAAGAATTCCTGGACCATAAACAGGATGGTTTTCTGGACATGTGTTGAGGAACCAACAGAGTGGAGGATACCTTAAGCTAGGTATTGTGTACTGAGAAAGAAATAATTGGCAATCTAGTTGTCTGAGGCCGCCCCAGGGATGAGCGATTATAATATAATACAATTCTTCATCAAGATGGAAAGTGACATAGTTGATCCTGAGGCAAGGGTCCTGAATCTAAATAGAGGAAACAACAATGGTATGAGGCATGAGTTGGCTATGGTAGATTGAGGAACATTACTTAGAGGGATGACAGTGGAAAGGCAATGGAAAACATTCAAAGAGCACATGGGTGAACTGCAACAGTTCCTGTCTAGTAAAAAAGTAAAATGGGAAAGGTGACGAAACCATGGCTTACAAGAGAAATTAGAGATAGTGTTAGATCCAAGGAAGAGGCATACAAATTGCCCAGAAAAAACAACAGACCTGAGGAGGAGAACAGTTTGGAATTAAGCAAAGGAGGACAAAGGGATTGATTACAAAAGGGAAACAGCGTACGAGAGTAAACTTGTGGGGAACATAAAAACATTTAATAGGTATATGAAGAAAAACAGATTAGAAAAGACAAATGTAGGTTCCTTACAATCATAACGGGGGAATTTACAATGGGGAGCAACAAAATAGCTGACCCACTAAATACACACTTTGGTTCTGTGTTCACAAATGAGGACACAAATAAAATACCAGGAATACTTTTAAACATAAGATTTATTGAGAGGGAGGAACTGATGTGAATCAGTATTAGTAGGGAAATGGTGTTGGGGAAATTGCTGAGATTGAAGGTAGGCTGGTAAATCCCAGAGCCTGATAATCTACATCCCGACATCCCAAATTCTCAAGCATGTGGACGAGAAATAATGGATGCAACAATGGTCATCTTCAGAGATTCTAAAGATTCTGTAACAGCTCCTACAGATTGGAGAGTAGCTAATGAAATTCCTTGATTTAAATAAGGAGGTAGAGACAAAACTGAGAATTATAGACCAGTTAGCCTGACATCTGTAGTGGGGAAAATGCTTGGGTCCATTATAAAAGATTTAATAGCAGAGCATGAGGAAAACAATGGTAGACAGAGTCAGCATGGATTTACGAAAGGGAAATCATGTTTGGCAAATCTACTTTGAAGATGTAATTTGTGGAGTTGGTGAAGAGGAGCCAGAGAATGTAGTTTATTTGGCCTTTCAGAAGCTTTCAGCAAAGACCCACATGAGAGATAGTATGTAAATTAAAGTGTATGGAATTGGAATAGTGAATGAAATGGATGGAAAGCTGGTTGGCAGACAGCAAACAAAGAATAGGAATAAATGTGTCTTTTTCCAAATTGCAGCCAGTGACTTGCTGGGTACTGCATTAACAACATTTAGCATTGGCAGTTTTAACCAATTTTTATCTGCACAAGCTTTTACTCTTCTTTGACAACTAATTTCCTCCCTCTCTCATGCAGTCACTAGCAACACTGAGTGAACCTCTGCCCAGAAGAGGCCTGCGCTTGTGACCCACAACACCACCTCCATCTCTGAGGAGGAAGCCACTGAGCCCTCCTGCCCCCCAACCGAGGAAGGTTCATCAAGGCTTTCACTTGCATTCTCCATCAACTCAGGAACTTTCACTTGGTTGGTATTCTATTAGACGTGGGAGTCCAACCTGGTGAGCACAGCTGGTCGAGGAAGAAACATTCCAGGCCTCTAGCACTTAGATGACTGCTGGAGACCAACCACCTGCACAGCCCCAGGTGAAAGTCTCAGCCGTTAATGACTTCACCAAAATGCATAGACAGACAAAATGCAGTGGGCAGGTTTGTTAGAGCTATTTGGTAAGCTGAATTGAAGAATGATGGAGTCCATCAAGGTAATCAATACTCTAATAGAAGCAAAATACAGTGGTTGCTGGAGATTAGAAATACAAACCAAAAGTGTTGGAGAAACTTAGCATGTTTAACAGCATCTGTGGAGAGTGAAAGAAGTTAATATTTCAAGTCCAATATGACTCTTAATAGACCCTCTCCACAGATGCCATTAGACCTGCAGAGTTTGTCCAGCACTCTCTGTTAGATATCAGAACAGAGCTTGTTTTGGCATGCATGTGTTTAACTATCTCCATGGACGGTTCAGCAACTGTTATGGGACACAGGTCTACTCCACTCTGTGCTTGCTGGATTTGTACATGAGCCTGCACTCTATCTAGCTGTAGGTTTTTAGCATCAATAGCAAGGCAAGAAAGAGACATGGGGCCTCAATCTAACTCTGGGTGCCCCTTCTTTTCGGGGAGACAGGCATGAACTCATAGGGAGGGGGAGTAGACGCAGGCTGCCCTGGACTGTCTTTGAAGGACACCAGAGATATGTGGTTCCTCCACTTTGCCCCTGCCTTTCATGACAAAGCTGCAGAACTCCAAGGAACAAGGAGGGTGAGCCTGTATCCAGGTGTGACAGACTCTGCAGGCTAGAGCCCTCTAGGCCCAAACAGATTCTAGGGCCATCTGCCTAAGTTTTCCTGGTCAACTACACAGCAGGCTCCCTTCACTCCAGGACTGCTCTTAGATGTGGTGGAGACAGAGGAAGAAAAGAAACACACTGAATGTACATAGATGGTACGGGTAACACGGAATCGTAAATAACCTTTTACAACAACAACTTTGGCTCCTTGATTGTAGATAGCCTCAGGATCAAGATCCTTGAATTGTGTCATTCAGGATTGCAGCCTTTTGATAAGGACAACACAGAGACTAAATGCAGTGTGCAAGGATGATGCTAGCGCATAATCTGCACACATCACTCTACAATTACATCCACCCTATGGATGAGTGTCACTTATATAAACAACTTGAATGTGAATATAGGAGGAAGGGTTAGCAAGTTTACAGATGACACCAAAATTGGTGATGTAGTGGAACAGAGAAGAAGGTTACATCAGATTACAACAGGACCTTGATTAGATGTGCCAATAGAGCGAGGATTAGCAGGTGGAGTTTAATTTAGATGAATGTGAGGTGTTGCATTTTGGTAAGGCAAATCAGGGCAGTACTTATACAGTTGATGGTAGAGCCCTGGGAGTGCTGCCGTACAAAGAGACCTTGGGATGCAGGTTCTTTAAACATGGAGTCACAGGTAGACAGGGTAGTGAAGAAGGCATTTGGTACGCTTGCCTTTATTGGTCAGTGCATTGATTACAGGAGTTGGGATGTAATGTTGCTGGCTGTACAGGACATTGATTTGGCCCCTTTTGGAATACTGTGTTCACTTCTGGTCTCCC